CGGCAGTCACATCGTCGGCTGCATGTGGACAGCGCAGACGTCCCTTTCTCGTTGCATGCGCAACAGGGGGGCCCGCCGCCGTCTCGCGGGATGAGGGTAGGTGGAGGGGGTTGAGTGTAGTCCGATACACGCTCGCTCATCCGAAAAGGAGGAGAAACAGCCGAGAAATCACCAACTCAATCATGGGGGGTAAGTTTAGCTTAATATAATATAGCTGTTCGACATATTGGCGTGTCTGTAGTAGTGCAAGCAACACAGCCCCGCTACCGATTTCCCTTTTTTCTTCCATACGATCGTGATCGAACGTTTTGTCTGCCGAACGTGTTGTTTCTTAAAGACGCAAATTGGGCTCTAGCCCAATTCGCGGATGAAACGGGCGACGAAGTTCGTCTAAGCATCAGTTCGTATCAAGGAAGCGAAGGGAAACAATACATGCAGAGACAATGGACAACGTTCGTCGACTGTGAAAACATGTCGCACACTGCAAACAAGCGTGAGACATGCAACATGACACACACATTCAGAACCCAGGTCCAGCCAGCCATCTCACAGCCCCGCAGCGGGGCTGGTATTTGGCCTGTATGGCCCGCGGCTGACGAAGTCCTCCGGAAACGCGCTGGCCCTCCGTGGCCCTCTGGCGGCCGCCGCGCGCTGCGCACGACTCGCCACTTGGAACGCGTTGTGCTTCATCAGCTCGACGGACAGGAGCTGGCTCCAGTGGTTGACGATGCTCTCTCGGAAAGCTGTGTCCTCCTCCCTGGGAATGGATGTGGGGCGAGGCTTTCGCTTGGCGAGCATCTTGAGAAAGTCCATGGTCTTGTCTCCCCATCTGCCGAATGTCTCAGCAGCGAGGGGCACGAAGCGGAAGCCGGCTGCTTGGGTGATTGGTCCATACTTGTCGATCTTGTCTTTCTCCGCAAGCTGAGCCGCCTTGCCACCTGGAAGCTGTGCACTACGCCGGTTGACTATTCGGTGGAAGGGGATGGGGGAGTTGTCAGGGCGGCAGGGGTGGGCGATGGTGACATCGATCAGGTAGTCACGGCCGTCGATCACGCAGTAGATGTTCATACGCTGGCTTTTGGGGTTGTCGTCGGGCGGGGTCATAGCGAGGCTGTGCAGAGACACGTCCACATTGGAGGGAACATCTGCCTCAGCCAGGATGCGAACAAACAAGTTGCGCATGTTGTTGTGTCTCGTGACTGTTTTTTCAAGATCTGGAGTACACCTGACCGACTCACGGACAGACGGAGGTAGTCGGTCAGGTGGACTGACCCTCGACCTGGATGGTTCGCTTCTCCAGCTGTGAGTCAGCCACCACACGCTATGAGTCGTGACAACCGGTTTATTGGTCACGACATGAAGTAGACGATGAGGGAAGAATTCTCAGACTGATTGCATGTGTTTGAATGGCTCAATACATGCATTCATGTGTTGCGCGAATCCGTTCATTCGATGACTTCGAAAAAAACCAGCAAATCCGCTTCGGAGTGGGTAACCGACGCACGCACCCTCAGCAATACGTAAAACTAGCGCCGGCCAGCCTGTGTTCATGTTTTCAGCGTGACAGACCATGAACTGTCTTTCTTCTCTGCTACTGCTTTGCTCTGCCCAACTTTCAGCACAGACCTTGCCTTGCCGTGTTCAGATCCCATTCCACGGAAGCAAAACAGACAGGCGGCCAGGCAGCCTCACCTCATGTCTTCTAGGCAGTTTCTTCGCCCGGATATCACCCCTTTCAGCGAGTGCAGCCCTCCCCTTTTCTTATCTCTGGTCTCATCCAGTTCACATTCGCCAGTGTCTTCGAAGAAGAAGAAGGTTTCGCATGTGTCGCTGGTCATACACAATTCGGCACACTCATTGACGGCAGCCATGTCCACAACAGCACTTCCTGCCCCGGACTTAGGTCTGTCCATGTGTTCTCGCCTCCCGATGTCGGGCTGGTAGCAGCTGCAGGGCACCGCAGTCGCGGGAGGGGACAGAACACCAGCATAGCCCGGCTCATCATAGGATGACAGGATCATGGGCACTGAGGAGGAGCAGAGATACAGATCCTGAGGCGTGGGGTAGGCACGGTACACATTCTCGCCCACCTTCGAGTGTCTTTGACGCTCGAAGTAGCTCGTCGTCGCCCTTGACGGGCACCACACGCACATACAAGTCCGCAGACGAGGTGTCACTGTTAGGCGTCACAGTGAAGTTCTCCGCCGCCATGGCGTCTACAAGCTCCTGCAGTGTGATGATCTCCTCGAATGCCGTCTTGTCGCGCTCAATAAGGGGCTTGTCGAGAGGAACATCTCTGTCGGTACCCACATACAGGCGCCACTTGTTGATGCCTTCATTAGAGGAGAATATCCGAAAAGACGGAGAGGTGGAGGGAAATACAGAGGTGATTGCCGGCACGTACCTGTAACCCCATTGAACGAAAAGTGGAGGGTCCAGTCCTGCAGCTGGTCAATCGACCCGTTACGTGTCGAGGCTTCCCCGTTTGCGTCGCTGCAGAGAAGGAGTCGCGGCGCTTCAGTCGAAGAGCCTTCCCAGGGGTGCAAAAGCGGTCGATGACCACGAAGGCCCTCGAATTCGCGGACTATGCGGGGGTTGTCTTCATATGTCACTTCAGTGAAGAAAGGCCCTGTATAGCCCCAGCCAATCAGCATCGTCGCAGGTTGGCCTCTAAAGGAGAGAGAGAGAGAGAGAGGCAGGCTCCAAGCCGCAATTGGACAAGAACACATCTACCACCTTCCGTTGTCGATCATCTGGAGCCCACCACAACATTTGCTCTTCAGCCTGGACACAAGGAAAAGACACGAATGGCGCTGCTTTTGTGCGCCCGCGAGTGTGATATACCCAGATGGGTGCGAAAAGGACCACACTTTCGTGGCGGTCATTTGATCCAGGTCCAGCTGCAGCTCGAGCACCCGAGAGGGCCGCGGCGACCCGTGCTTCACATGGCGTCCGTTATCATACCTGTCACAACCGCATACATTCATCTGCATATAGTGCAGACAACACAAATCATTTGGTCCCCTGACATGATGATGTTCCCATTAAAGAGTTGGTGAGCATCGTGCTGGCCGAAGAAGGGAGGATCCATGTCATCGCCGACGAAGGTAAAATCACTGCGTAGCAGATATGAAATGCATGGGAGCAAACATCAACCGCTTGCGTTGACATACCTTGTCTTGCCCCCCAAGCGCCAAAGGATCTTACCGGTCTTGCCGCTGAGCAAGACGATCAGTCCGCAGCCGTGGAATGAGAGGATCAGATTGCCTAAACGCACATGACCAAAATAAGTGGTCAAACTACATGCGGTATGCCGAGCGGTCTTCTTTACCATCGGGTGTTCGCTGAGCGTTGTTGATATGATAGTACTGGCACAAACATGCTCAAAGACAGACGATTGCATAAACAATTTTGTTTCTGAGATAGGTGTACATCGTTTGGGCTTTCTCTTAGGTCCATCAGCACGGGATCGGCTTCTTGCACAAAGTCATCGATCGTCCGCCATTCGAGCACTACATTCCTGTCAGCGTCCAGAACCTGCACTACTGGAGACAAGAACCCGGAAAGACGTGTGCGTACTGGATGAAGAGTCTCACCGTTATGTATGACGCCGTCGGTCCTGGTGAGCGCTGCCAGAATCGTGTTGCCATAATCGAAAAATATGCTATGGCCGTCTAATTTATAGCCATGGCCTGAAATGATGAATCTGCAAGTAGACCAAGGTTGGGATTCACCATTTGCGTACCGGGATTGTGCCTAGCGACAGCCTGGTATGTGGAGTTGAGCTCGTATGCCTTGAGGCTGGTGTCTTCTGGTCTAGTGTCCCACACTGCCACATGGCCAGTCGGCGCCACACCCAGCACACCCGCCGCGAACGTAGATGTGTGAGTCCACCATACTAAGACACCCTGCACACATACGTGAAAGAATAACCAAGAATCTACAAACACGTGTTCGTGATGTGATCACTTTGTTTACATCACGTGTAGTGATGATATGCTGGCCTGCATGTTCTCCCCTTGCGTGCCCGACACCAAAAAAATAGAGGTCTCCTTCTGCGCCAGTCGCATCATTCCTCTCGTCCACGGCGGCCTTCTCGCCCTCGGGAGATGGCTTCAACTTGGCAGCCCATGTTGGCAGTGTGCGGTAGCGATCCATCGGTGTGGGCCCCTTAAGCCCTTCCTGCTCGTCTGGCTGCTCGCTCTCCCGATCCAAATAGTCGAACTTAGCTGGAACGCTCGCTGCCTTGTACTTCGTTCGTATCCGAAAGCTCCACTCGTAGGGGCCTGCCTCACGCTCAGTGAAATTCTCAGAGCGTCGCACGCGCAGGCCGGGACCGAACTTAACGGTGACCTTCTCGTTTTCGACGAAAGGCCGGCCAGCATAGAAGACCACTGTTTTGTTGTCGCGGGCCAACACAACCGTTCCCTTGACAAGGCCACTTTCTTGTCCAGTGACGTTGAAGAGGCCGTACAAGTCGGCTGGAATGACCTCTTCGCCTTCTCTGATGGCGATGGAAGTCAACTCCGACACGTGCAGCGCATCTGCACGAGGATGGATGTACTCATACTGTCCGTCGCCATACGGCCTAACGGCACCCTCCACGATAAACCGCTTCTGAATCACTTCGAGCGCTGACGCAGGCGGACTCAACATGCACAGCATGCCGAGGCTGATGCCCAGCGTATACCTCCCTCCTGCAGAAAAGACCACCATAACACTACGAGGCTACAGAAGCGGGAAGGATCCCTGTCGCGCGCTTGCCGTTTCTCGACAATCCGGCTGACACCGGAAAAAGGAAGCGCTGCTGGCAACTACATAAGATGTCCGCGAATTGGGCTGTGCCAATTTGCGGCAGACAAAACGTTCGATCAGGATCGTATGGAAGAGAAAAGGAAAAACGGTAGCGGTGATGTGTTGCTTCCAGTACTACAGACACGTCAATATCATCATCATCATGACCATCCCACGGACCACTAGACGGACGGGTCGTTTTACCGCGAGCTTTGGCGAGCTTTTGCAAAAAACCCGTGGAAAAAATTGCATCCATTGCCCGCACGGTTTTTGCACGGCAGCAGCACACAGCAGACCCCCACACCTCAGGGCGTCCAGGACGAGCGAAAGAAACGGTGAAAACAGCACCAGAAACGGGGAACAGACCAAGACAAACAGAGAGGGAACCAAAGGGACACTGCAGAAGGCACGCAGGAGGCCACACAGCAGCGAACGAAACTCATAGAGCACGCTTGGCGCAAGAAGGGTGTAGCCCGCGTTTTTCACGTTCCGAAAGGAAAAAGCAAGAGCGATGAGTCCTTTTCTCAGACCAAACTTGCTGGGACGTGTGTACCCTCCACAGGGTATGCGTACACGTCCCCCGTCGGCTTTCCCGCCGGGAAAGCCGACGGGGGAGGTGGGTGGGTGTTTCTCTATATGGTGGCCGGCTATGGTGACCACGTATGGGTGATGTGAGACACCCATGGCCGGCCACCTCGTGGCCAGTCGGGCCAGGATCACGCCCGTCTCCCAAGCGAAGCAACCGAGGAGGGTTGTCTGTAGTGATGCAGTGATTCACTGAATGAATGAATGAATGAAGTGAATAAATTTATTGATTGACTGACAAGCAAGCACACACTTATGTGACTCGACTGACGCCCTGTCATTGCGGAATGGCGAAGTGTCTTCTCCTCGCGTCATGGCTCGCGTCGTTTGTGAGTTTCGCACAAGCACTTCACTGCAATTGCGTCGCATTCGATTCATTGGGGCCTGTACGGGTTCAAGGCTTGCCTGACGCTGGCAAGGAGTCTGTAAGAGTCCGTTTCACGTGATAACGAATTGATCCACACGTTTGACAACCCACGATGCACACCGTTTGGTGGTTGGGGTGTGTGTACCTTTATTGGTCGGTTGTCCTTTGAGGCGAAGAGAGCGACGGCCACATGCGTGAGGACCGAGGTGGGAGAGGTGTATCCACATTATAGTTTGGGATTTTTGACGGCTGTCTAAACTTTCGGTGACGGTTCTCCTTTTGACGGGGCGGAGAGCGATAGCCGTTTGCGTGTGAATACAGCATAGCGAGATGTATCATGCATTGACACAATCGTGCTGATTTAGGTTGGCGGCTGTGTGAACTTTCGGTGGCTGGAAGACGGCGCAGGGCGATGGCCGCTGGCGTGCAGACACAGCATGACGAGATGTATCACACATACATGATTTTGCGTCGAATGAGTGAGAGTCCCGAAAGAAATCAGCACAAATCGCCGAATTCCGTGTAACCGACACCAGTGTTCGCCACCTTTTACCCGAACGACAGGGCGCAATTGCAACTAGAAGCAAACTCGTCTCTGGCAGCGTCCGTCCGTGCGCATATATTTTCGTCAACCAGATCGACCTTGAAGCGTTGCAAGGAGATTGCGGTGGAGCTAGCGGTGAGCAAGTTTTCAGCGGCTATGGTCTCCTTTGCGGGGACGAAGAGCGACGGCCGCTTGCGTACGAAGAGACCGTAAAGCAGTGTGGCGTGGCGCAAGGGCGCGCTTTCTAATGAAATTTGGGGGGCGACGGGAGTGATAGGTAACTATAGGTGCATCAGGACCGCATCGATGCCCGCTTTCACATGAGACGCGTGCGGCCCCCAGTCTCCTTCAGGCAGAGGATGGTACGGAAGGGGTTTCGAGGGCAGGTCAGCCACTTGCATGTGCCAATTGGGTGAGAGCCAGAAGGTGCAAATGTGAGGAGGCCTGACGGTTGAGCAGGGTCAGTGCGGTGAAGGGCGCGCCTTACGGCTCAGACCGGTCATCTGAGTGGCGGAGGAGTTCGTGTCGTGATCCGAATTGTCCCGAGTTCGAACCCAACGCAGCTACTGAAAAACATCTAGGGGAATAAAAATCTAGGGGAATAAAAATCGACGGCGGAAGACTTTGGAAAGATTGCATTATTGCTTCTGCAGATCAGATTTTTCCGACAAACTTGACAGAATCGTTGACTTTGACAGATTTTTCGTTTTCTTTGCATATGATGGACATAATCGTTAATGTGTGTGCATCCCCCGCCACCCTGTGTGGCAGCGTTCATTGAAGAGACGTGCGCGACCACCAGTGGGCGTACACAAGCAACCTCAGACTCAACAGAGAGAGACATCATCGCGACCAGGTGACTCAGGTGAGCATCAAGCTTACGCACTGACCTCATAGTGCGAGAACCTTAAGCGAGGGTAAGCACAAGTGACACATCACTGACAGACAGTCGCACCAAGCGAGCGACAGACATACCACGCGTCGCGACAGGACGCCAATCAATCGACCACCAACCAAGGAGGGAGCCCTCGTGCAACGAGTACGGCATGTAAGAGGTGTGGCATGTGAGGCACCCCTTCGCCATTCCCGCCTCGTCCAGTCGTGTCTCACCCATCCGAGGGTGGATTGACTGTGTCTCGGGCACTCGAAGGCGGTGGCGGTGGTGGGGGGAGAGGTGGAG